GTGTGAATGTAGTTGCTGATATTATTCCCCTAGAGAAAATTGTGAATGAATGAGACTTGAAATCTTTTTCTTAAGCTTTTTAGGAAGAGAAACTAACTTTAGACAGTAATAAAGATAGTTTCAAATAGTGAAGCGAATCAATTGAAACATTTCAGTAAAAGAAAGAGCCTTTTGTTTCCAACCACTAAGCCAACCTTGAAGTTTATTCATGATAGAGGAACAATTAGATTGATTTAGTGTAACAGGAGCTACAGGGATCCCCAAATATTCCCAATGAAGGGTTTTAAGAATGAAACCAAAGAGATTACAATAATGCTCCTTCATATTAGTATTAAAAGAATTTGAAGAGAAAAGAATAGACTTATTAGTGTTAGCAATCAAACATGTGGTGTTCTTCAAGGAATAAAGAATCCTCTCTAGGTCAAGCACAATGGAGTTATTTGCTTTTCCAAAGACTAAGAGATCATATGCATAAATAAAGTGAGATATCATAGCATGCTTCTTAGATATGCAGTTAAATTTGGCACTGATGCAGGAAGCCTCAATTAGGGGTGTCAAAATTGGGTTGTGGGTCGGGTTCGGATCAAACCCGATATTGACCTCGCCACTAATTGACACAACCCAAACATACCAACTTTTGCAGATGGAGCAGAAATGTTAACCCAAACCCAACCCTTCTAGTTTTGGGGTTGACCCAACCCGACACAAAATGTCGTTGAAGGAGGTCGGTTTGTTGTCGTCGAAGAAGGAGGTGTAGTCGTTGTTGAAGGAGGTCGGGTTGTCATCGTTGAAGCCCAAAGGAGGCATCTTCATTGTCGAAAGAGGCTAGGTGGTCATCGACAAAGGACGCATCATCATCGTTGAAGGAGATGGGGTTGTCGTCGTCGAATGAGGCTTCCTCGTTGGAGGCTTTCGTGACTTTTGAGCCCCGACACGAGGCTATCATCAAAGTAGGCGGTCGAACAAGGCATCACCATCGAAGGAGGCATCATTTTCGAAGGAGGCCGGTTAGGGATTGCAGGCAAAACTAGGTTGTGGGTTAGCGGGTTGACCCGAACCCGACCCATTTGAAAAAATAGGTCAAATCCTGAAACTCGAACCCGACCCGTTTGTTAAACGAGTTAACCCTAACTCAAAATTTTTGGCTCGGGAAAAAGCATACATAATAAATGTGAAGAGAAAAGGAGAAAGGGGACATTCCTATCTCAATCCATTTTTGGAGTTGAAATATCCATTTAATTCTCCATTAATAGTAACATAGAAGTGAACATTTTATGTACATGCCTTAATGCAGTTAACAAAGATAGGGGGAAGCCTAAGAGCAAGAAGTATGTGTATAAGAAAAATATGTTAACAATATCAAAAGCCTTTCTCAGATCAAAATTTTCCCAAAAGCTTTATGAGAATAATAATGATAATTAAATCCTCTAAGAATCTCATTGGCTAGAATAATATAATTAGCAATATCATGTCCATAAATAAAAGCTTATTGTGCTTGATGAATAAGATTTTGAAGAAAGATTTTGATCATATAATTAGCCCAAAACTTTACAATCACTTTGTAATATACATTTCAAAGAAATTCTAAAATTTGTCATAGTTTTGGATTGGGGATATTTGAGAATTAAATTAATAGGAAAGTGCTTAATTAGACTCTATAGCTTAGCACATATAATTATTTTACATCTTCATCATTGAAAATTTCTATAAACTTGCTTTAAAAAAATATCAATTTCCAAATAATATATTCTAAAACTACCAGCATAAGATACGTAGATGATGGTTTACCACTTTTAACCATTACAAAAAATACAATAATCATAAAGAGATAATCAAAAGACTAATAAAAAAAATAATTATTTTCCTTCTGCCAAAAAAATAATCTTTTTTAAATCCCAGCATAGCCTCTCCCTAACCCCACATGCCTGTCGTGCCAGCCGCACTGCCGCCTAGCCTTCGAGTTCGTATTCTACAAAAGGGTCACGAGTTAGGTCTAGGTTGAAAATCCTGACTGTTTGTAAAACCGGGTCGGATTCGGGTTGACCTATTTGACTTGGGTCAACTCGAATTCGACCCGAACCAGACCAGCCGACCTGATTTGACAACCCTATTTCCACCATATAATCCATTATATTTGGTTGACTGGAAACTAAAAGATAAATGAAAGGAAAAAAGTATAACTTTATTATTACTTTAAAATGTATTATTTAGTTAATTAATCCAATTAATGACTTATTAATCTTAATTTTTGTGGTTAAGTATAATTTAATATTTCAAATTTTACTTTTTTTCAGCCTTAATTTGAGGAGCCTTCCTGTAGTGTTATATGACATCTCTTGATTATTTTTTATTTTTTTTTGTTTTGTTTTTGCTTTATTTTTTGTTTATTAATCTACTGGTTTATATTTAATATGTCACTGTTATATTTATTAAAAAATAATTATAATATTTAAATCATATTAAAATAAATACATGAAAAATATATTTTATTTTGAATAAAATAATATTAATATAATTGAATACCGTCTTGATTGAATTTTTTTTTTTAGAATTTTGATTGGATGAATTTAAATGCTCACCCTGCCATAGAAAATAATATTAATGATATATATATATTATATATATATATATCACCCTAAAATAAAAGAAGGGACAAAATAAAAAATATTTCTGTTAATTAATAAAAGGCGTTATATCCAAAGATAAAGATGGAAATAGTAAACACAGGAAAAAGAGGGGCAAAAACTTCTAAGTGTCCGTTTGAGAATGCTATTTGACTTTATTTTCTTAACTAGAAATTGTTTTAAGGTATTTAAAATATATTTGGGATAAATTTTTTATTATTATATTTTTTTATTTATAACTGATACATCTTCAAAAGTCGACTTGATCCAACACAAATTTTGAGGTATATACAAATTGAAAACATTTGAAATTAAATTTAGGACCATCTAAACTTTGATTTTCAACAAACTTGTAGTCAAAATGAACATTTCAAATATACAAACCCAACGAAACCAAAATCAACTTGATCTGAACACGAATGGGTGAATCAAGAGTCTAAAGCAGATTTGAAAAGTTAAAAACATTAATTGGATGGCAGAATGATATTCAAATGTGGCAAGCTTATAGTCGAATCGAGCGGCTCAGCGAGATGAATCCAACGAACCCAAGATCACTGAATTTCAACATCGTTAAAACACTTTAATACTTGAAAAATGCTCTATGATCGGGGTAACCAATATGGTCATCCGATGGAGCACTCCAGTCGTGCCCCAAATCTTCTCCATATTTACGAGGTGTGCTACTCACAAAAATATATAAATAGATCCTCATTCTCTACATGAAGGGGACATTTTGGCTAAAGATTGGAGAGAGTTATAAGGCTTTAAAAGTTCTAGCACCACCACTGGCCAACCTCCATGAACCATCATCGGATCCCACCCCACCCCGACTGCTGTTGGACTTCAACTGGTTGCTGACCTTTACCGGACTTCCACCAGACCATCATTAGAACACCACCCTGCAGCCGATATTTGCTGGACTACAACCCGATCGTTGACCGCTGCCAAACTTTCACCCAACTGCTGTCGGATCACAGCCTGGCTGTAGACCACCGCGAGGCTATCTTCTGTCTGCTGGTCGTCACTGAACTTCTACCCAATTGCCAACCACCATCGGACTTCCAACCCACCATTGTAGGGCCACTGCCCGATTGTCGACCACTGTGAAACTTCCACCTTGTTGCCACTGAAACACAACTAGATTTTTGCTCAACCATCGTATGACCACCATTGGGCCACCGAACTCTACCTTCCAACTATGATTTCTGATACCACAGTCGCTCGTCAACTATAGTCCTTCCAACCACCTTCGTCGTCGACTACGGTCCATCTAACCTCCATTGCCTGCCGACTATGGTCTCTTCGACCTTCGTTGTCCGCCGACTATGATTCCTCCGATCACCGTTGCCCTTATACTATGGTCCCTCCTACCTCCGTCGTCCACCGATTATGGTACTTTCGACCACCATCGCCTACGAACTATGGTCCCTCTAAGCTCTATTGCCCACCTAGTATGGTCCCTTCAACCATCATCGCTTGCCGACTGCGATCCCTCTGACCTCCGTTGTTTGCCGACTCAATCCCTCCGACCATTGTTGCTCACCGACTATAGTCCCTCTGATATCCATTGCCCAAATACATCCTTAACAATCAAATGAACAAGCCAACGTTCTCTTGAAAATGAATCCCTTATCATTAGATTCTTTAAACCGAACTATACAATGCGCTCTATATGATAGATTGAGCCGGCATTTTCAATCAACCCCCCAACTGGAAGGGCACCATTTGTGATCATCTACAAACACCAATGAAATCATATTAAATAGGCCATACTAGTGTTTTCCCCTTTCAGGATTTTCTATGTAAAAATCTTGGTGTCTCTTATTACTCAACACTCACACCCCTATGTCTTTATCAGTATGTGTGATGGATCTTCATTTAAAACTAAAATATTAAGCTCCTTATCCCTCAACTATTGCAATTCAATCCGCAACAGTACTTAAGAACTTTGAACAAACAAATTTATTATTATGATATCTATAAAAAGTTATCATCTTACTTTTTTAAGGACAAAAAGATCTATAATGTTGAAAAAAATTTGTAATATTTTTTTATTTGCAATAAAATTTCAATCAATTTTATTAATAATAACAATTGCAATAATTCCAATTATACATAGTTTTTACAATCTTCATTTAGACTGGCTTATATATATATATATAATTTCCAATAAAAGCTCTTCCATGAAATTATCAATTTTATTTAATAAATGAATAATTAAAGGTATATTATCACTTATAGTTATTATTAGTTTAGCATATTATAATAATATAAATTTTTTAGATATATTAAAAAATAATATATATTTTAACTCGTCAGTCGTCACTCGTCACCGTATATTCGCCGATCGCGTCCAATATTCGCTACGTGGACGGGCCGAAATCAGTCCCGAGAAGCAGAGTAAGCCACGACTCCTTAACGCAGTACCGCCACCAACTCGAAGACTCCTTCCTCCACCTCTCTCCCCCTTTCCCAACCCTATCCGATTACTTTCCCCTCTCTTTCTCTCTCTTTTCCAAACCCTAACAAGAACCCTGATGATCCGATCGGGCCCTGGATAAAGAGGCTGCGTGGCGTGAGCCGGATCAGAGCCGCCGGCGAAGATGACGAGGAGGTGTTCCCATTGCAGCAACAATGGGCACAACTCACGCACGTGTCCGAACCGTGGAGTTAAGCTCTTCGGTGTTCGCCTCACCGATGGCTCGATCCGGAAGAGCGCTAGCATGGGCAATCTCTCCCTCTTTGCTGGATCTGCGGGTGGCTCTTCTCCTGCTGAAGGCCTTGAGGCTTCCGGCACAGCCGGTGATGGGTACGCGTCGGAGGACTTGGTGCAGGGCTCTTCGTCCAGCTGCCGCGAGCGGAAGAGAGGTTAGTCTATGGATTATGATATTTCTGCACTGGAATTTTTTCTGCTCTTCTTCTTTATCTTTTTCTTCTGTTTTTACATCTCTTTTTCCGCCCTTGTATTCTGTTGTGGCTTTTTGGTTGTCCGATGGGTTAGCATAGGCGGTTTTTATCAAATAGTGATTGCTTGAACTAGATGGGAAGCTCTACAGTTTTGAAGGGACATCATTCATTGTGATATCAACTGATGCTTTGATTACAACGGAAGTAGCAAAAAATTTTCATGCTTGATTAAAAATCTAGATCTTCATCATTTTTGTTTTCTTTTTTTGACTCTGGTGGTAGAAAAACGGTGGAATATTTTGCACCCTTTCAAAGGAAATAGAGGTATAGGTACAATATGCGACAAGCTTTTGATATTTTGATACCTGATCCATTTGAGGAAGTATGGGCATCATTTGTTGTAAGAAAATAAATGATAATCTGGGATTATGTGCTTATCCATTGTGATTGAGTGTTTTTATAATTCCCTTTTTTTATTTAAGGGAAATGCTTATATGGCATCTTGAGAAATTGAGGATGATTTTTGTGCATAAAAAGTGAACAGGAAATTTTTTAGAACAATAGGGTGGAAATACCGAGTCCTTTTCTAGTTTTCTTAAAATGAACTGAAAAGCATAAAGCCACACTGAGACCTTCCCCCAAAGATTAAAAGATCAACCTAAAGCAGAAGGATTCATACAATAAAACAGAGAAAATTACAGGGGGGTGCATGGATTGAACTGTACTGTATCGGAAAGAAGACTATCAATCACAGAAGCCAACAAAAATGAACATTGTACCGAAACTTGGAGAAGAGTGAGGAAAGTTAAGCTTATCATGATCTGGTGCCTATGCCAATTAGCTCATCATGATCTGGTGCCTATGCCAATTATGTAGAACAATAGGTTGAACGGGAACCTGTGTTTGTAAATAAGCTATGAAGTACGGCTAAACTTTCAAGGAGTAAAAGGCATTGCCATATGGGAAACCACTACGATTACTGTTGTCACGTGGAGAAGTTTTTAATGCCATCATAAAACTAATTGATTTAAAAAAAAAAACTGGTTATCAGCAAAAGAATTAGCAAAACCAATACCATTTGGCCATGCCATCTCCCATTGTTGGTGGGCTTATTTTTTCGTGACATGTAGAAATCACCATTCAAACTAAGAAATCTTTTTTGCAGCTAGTGTTTTTGATGCAGGACTAATTAGATGCGATGATTATGTAGTCATTTAGGCATTGCACAACTCTTAGATTAGAATAAATTCCGTAGTTTGATGGAAGATTTCTCCTTCTAAGGAGCAATCTTTTATTTAAATGGTTTTTTATAATATTTTTTTTTTCAATTGGAAATATGAAATTTCTTAATTATGTTTTTTAAAAATAAAAAACGCCTAATTTTGAGCAGACGAATTATAAAAACACTCAATCACAATGAATAGGCACATAATCCCAGATTATCATTTATTTTCTTACAACATGCACATGTTGGTAATGCAGATGTTGTCACAACAAAGAGCAAGCGAGGATGAGAGAGTGGCATTAAGGTCATGCACTAGTGATTGAACCCAATTGATCTCAATTGCTACATGTGCTATAGCTCGATAGTTGGATTTAGTGTAGCGAGTGATTGTTTGCTACTCTTAGGAGTATGTGATTGGGTTCTGTGACTCTGTCTAAGCTAGAGGATAACTGCAGTAGTTAAAGCTTAATAAATACCATTTTTGGCCTAACTGATGTCGAAAAACCCTGAAGAATCATAGGGGATTGTTGATTGAGAAAAAAGCCCATTTAAAATAATAAGGATTAGTACATGAATTGGGAGAGTTTGTTTACTACAAAGGATATGTTTGGATGAGTGAGACATAAGTATTGTAATTCTCCAATGGTAATGCAATACTCTGTTAGATCAGTGTTGAGGTTCCAAATGTCTCTTTTTTGGGTGTGAGAAAGAGAGCAATTTTTTTGTTGAAATAACTTCCAACTCTCAAGAAGTATGCATCGAACTCAAGTCTTTTACAGGAAATTGAATAAAAAGATTGTTAAGAAGCTTATTTTTGGAGCTAGTTTGTTGATAATGAGTTTATCAACATATGTGAAAAAAAGGACTTGTAGAGACATTTGGTTATAGATAAATAGTGAGGATGCAAATCTAAAGCTGATAAATTTGTGCCAAGAAGAAATTTATTGACTTTAGTGTTTTTGGCTCGTGGAGATTACTTAATACTATAAATAACTTTGTGAGTTTGCATTTATGAGAGGGGAGATTTGTGTCAATAAACCTTCAAGGTTAAACCATGAATACCTCCTTAACCAATGTTCTTTGAAAGAATGCAATGTTAATGTTAAGTTGGTGTGGTTGAGGATAAATCATTGGCTGATTTTGAGATAAAGTGATGCAAAGGACCAAACCTATAGTAGTTTGGTTTAACAACTAAACTAAATATTTTGGTGTAATTGAGGTGCGGTCCTTGGTGAAAATCTATTTCTATCAATCATGTGTTGTAGCGCTGAATATTTCCATAAAATTTCCTTTTAATGTGAAAATGCATTTGCAAGCGGCTACATTTTGCAACAGTGGAGGCGAAACTAGTTCTGAAGTACCATTTTGGACAAAGGCGGTGAACTTCTTATTCGTGGCCATTCACCATTCTAGTCTTTTAGAGCTTGTGTGACACATGATGGTTAAATAGAGGGAGAGGAATGGAATGTTGTTTTCAATTTGTGACTATGAAGATGCTTTCTTTGTTTAAGATGTTTTGAGAGCTAGTAGCCATGTTGTGTTTGTGGGTAGTGCCGTAGCGGTACTGTTGGATTGTGGTGTTGATGGTAATGTGTTGGATAGTGTTGTATTTGGGGCAACTTTATTTTAGGAAGAAAGGTGATGTTGGATGAAACTAGGACCTTTGTCAGACTGGATGTAGTAGCGTGTTGAGGGTTCATTGGCATCATTAGATCTTTAGTTGAGTGGTAAGGAAGAAGAGTGAGGAGTTTAAATTTTTGTGTAGAGATAGATTGTTGGAAGCTCGGAGAAGTAACTCAAGTGTTGGAGAGGTGATGTCTTCATTTACTTAAATATTTCGTAAGATGGTGCGATTGGTAGAAGAAACGAGATATTTATAGACACTTTTAGAGGAGTATCCAACAAACAAATAGTGTCGTGAGTTTGTTTCAAGTTTATTTTTTATTATAAGGTTTAGGCAAGGTTGGCACAAGCAACCAAAAGTGCTAGTTGTTTTTGGTAATTTGGAGCGGATGCAATCAATTTTTTGAATGGTGATTTATAGCTGAGTAATGGTGTAGGTAGTCTACTAATGAGTTAAGCTACTGTTGGGAAAGCATGATTCTAAGGTGATAAGGATAATGATGCATGGTGGAGAAGGTTGAGGTTGGTTTGGATGGCACGATAATGATGCTGAATTTTCTCATTGTGTTGTGGTGTATGTTGAGGGTGGTTGGATGAGAGATGTCATAGTAGTCATTTTTCTTTTTTAGGTTCAAACTACATTTGTTGGTGTTACCAAATTGATTAGACAGTTGGCATTTTATTTTGGAGTACTTGGCTTTTTTTCATTATGATTCTTGCTCTATTGATGGGAAGAAAGATTTTCGCCAAAATAGTTTCTATGAGATAGACTTGCTATCCACAAGATCTTTTGCGATGGGGTAGATTTGTATAAGAACTTTGATGGAGCTCAACAAATTTATGTTTGATAAACAATTGTCTTCAAATTTTAACAACAATAACAACAACATCAAGCCTTTACCCCACTATGTGGGGTCGGCTTCATGAATCATTTTCTCCATTGTGTCATATTAAAAGTTAAATTCTCATTTAAATCTAATAAAAAAATGTCATTTCTAATATTTTCTAACCAAGTCTTTTTAGGTTTACCTCCACCTTTTTTAGCATAAGTCAGATCTAACACATATACTTTCATAACCGGGTCATTGGAGAGCCGTCGTTTTATGTGACCAAACCATCAATGGCGACTCTCTCCAATCGTATCTTCCGCTGAAGCTACTCCAACCTTTTCACGTATATGCTTATTTTGTATTCTATCTCTAAGAATAAAGCCACTCATCCACCCGAGCATCCTCATCTCTGCAACAATTAACTTAATATTATGCTTCTCTTTTAATGGCCAACATTCTGCACCATAAAACATTGCAAGTATAACCACCATCTTATAAAATTTTCCCTTAAGTTTGAGGGAGACTTTTCTATCACTCAACAAGCTCGATGCATTCCACCACTTTAGACATTTAACTTGAATTCTACTTATAATATTCCAATTTATTTCACCATCAATCTGAACAATAGACCCAAGTTATCGTAAACATGTACTCTTATTAATAACTTGATCACCCAAAGTCAAATTAATTTATTTGTGGTTGGATCACACCTTTTGTATGATTAGCATATCACATGAGAGAAAATTTGTTGTTGTGGGCATAACAAGTATTTCTCTTGAAATAATAATAACTATTAAAGGTATTAATTAAAACCTAAAAAAAATCATTTGTATAACTCTTATAATGATGAAGGTAGCTTAATATGAAAATTGTATTTAAAAGTAATTTTCTTATATTAAATTGATTAATAGTTAGTGGGGAGTTGAAGTTTATTTGTCCAAGTTTATCATCTGAGGACTTTATTTTTCTTTATATATACTTGAGTCTAGCTAATCTAATGGCAGTTGCAATTTAAGTGTGTTGATGCCATGAGCCCACAACAATCTTCTTTGCAAAGAGGCAATGATGGCACGACGGTCATTGCCTCAAGAATATCGACATTTGGTAGACCTTCACAAGAGTATTTCGATTTTCGATGGCTTACGATTTCATGATATTGACAACTTAAGAATTTATCATTATCAAGAGGCTTACCTGCAACAAATTAATAACATATAAAAAAAATTCAAGTAAAATTTTTTTATGATGAAGATTATAACATAGAAAAGTAATTTTGTAGATTAGATAATAAATAGCTGTTGCTAAGAGTCTCAGATTGTTTTCCCATGCTCATCTTCCAAGGGTTTTATTTGTCCTTAGGATGGCTGGAATTAGTGCACATAGCAATGTATTAATGAATATTCTGTTAAGAATAAAAAAGAAAATTAATAGTTTAATGTTTTCCATCCCTGAAACTTTTGTTGGAATATAAATTTTAATATTCTTTGCAACTTTGGTTCTTATGTAAAAATTAATGAGGAAATAGAAAATCGTGAAGTGCAAAAAACATAATCCCACCAAAGTGCAGAAATGCCTCATTTTGAGGATTTTGCCCTATCAATGACAAGCGGAGATGCCCATGCATGGGGTGTGGTCAGCAGTGGAATTGTTTGAAGGAGTTTTGTGCTGGAACTTTGCGAATGAACAGAGACAAAGAAGGCTCGTTTAAGGCAAAAGAAGAGCTTAGGCATAATGGCCGTTGAAATTTTAACTGGTGCTTCTGCAAATATGAACTTCTCAAATAAGGGAAAGATGGCATAACGGTTATGAAGACATAAATATTGGTGCTAAGAAGATTTACACGAGATTGCTACAATGGGTTGGGGTTGCACAATTGCACCAACTTAAGAATTAAAGAATTTACTTGTCGTTATAGTCAAGAGGCTTCCATGCAACTAATTTTGGGGCCTATGACGTGAAAAAAGCAAGCCCGCTTGGCTGCCTTGATTTTTTTCACTGCCGTTTTCTATTTTTGGACTTTTCTCTCTCCTCTTCTTCTTCTTCTTCTTCTTCTTCTTTTTATTGTTGTGGTTTGCTTGTCATGGCATGGCTAGAAATTTTAGGAGATGTTATTTCACGAGGGATTTCAGTTTCTTTCTAAACAACTCCTAGCAAATAATAGCATCCACCTGTTATATATTTTCCCGGAAGCAATGCATTACCGTGTTTATAGGTGCACGTGGCAATCGCTGGTGAAGATATATTGTTTTTTTTTTTTCAATTGAATTTCATTTGTGCGCATATAATAATAATGGCTGGATGATCAACATTTAGAAAATAGTGATTAATAATGACTACTACAAATTTTTTTTGGGATAAAAATAAGCTTTTATGGGAGATCACTAAGTAAGATTTTTCCTCCTTACTGAAATGATCCCACCAATGTGGTGGTTAACGTGGCTAAGGGAGCTGCTATCAATTTCATCAATTTCTTATTAAATGTTTTTGGGTGGATAAGATGCAGTTGCGTTGGCTATAACAATGTCAATAATATAATTAACCATAATTGTTATACTTGAGTGGGAAAAATACCAACATCTAGGCATGCTACGTTGTCAATGATATATATCAACGAGCAAAACTGTGTGGTTTTCAGCTGTTCATACTGAAAAGAGTAACATATTCTTGCATGCAGCTGAAATCTAGTAAACGGTTTGTTAGGGCAAGCATATTTCTTTAGCAGAACTTTAACCTCTATTTTTTTTCTATGGCCATACCTTGAATAGGGTTCACATTGAACATAGGTGACAAATTTTGGAAGAGTAGGTTATTGGTAGTTTTTATTTATGATGTCAAAATGTTTCAAATCTTTGTACAGGAATTATTATTTGCACTATTCTTATAATCTGAAGTTGCTTTACTCCTTGAAGTTTTATGTGGTTAAATGTCATTATTCTATGCAGGCATTTCAGGTTGTTGTGTTTGCTTTTTTTATTCACATCTTCTCCCTTTTGGTGTGTTATCAGTCGAATTTTGCAAGTCTTTTTTTGGTGAAATGTCATCTGTTCCCTTTTTTTTAACATTATTTTGGAAAAAATATGGGAATAGCTTCCATTTAAGAATTTGACTCTTAATAAGACAATAGAGAAAAAAGAATGTCTTTGACCCCACGAAATGAGATAAAGGCTTGTTGTAGTATACAATTAGCTTCCATTATTTTAATGGTAGGATGCAGGCAATTAGGTGGTAGTATGGGGGAAAGCGAAAAACTTGTTATGGTTTAATGGAAGCAGCTGTCAGCAAGCTGTGGCGGTATATTGTGTGTTGATATTAATTGGGCATACAGTGGGTTGGGTTCCAATATGAACGGGTTGACAATAGAACGATGAATATAAATTTTTAATAAGTTTTTATGTTTTTTATGTAATTATTAGTGCCAGGAGCTAAGTTCTAAATTTATGTTTTTTGTTCATAATTGAGGCACCTTTTGTCATGATATCATCATCGAGGTTCTGTCGTTATGGATGCATTTTAATAGTTTTTAGTCTATACAAGCTGTGCTGTGCTTCCACTAGAGAGTATCCCATAGAATTATCACCTGAGACTTTTAACGATACTTCGCCAGCTTTTATTGAGATTGTGAATAGTTGTATATTACTCTGCCATTCTATGTCTGTGGGCTTGAGAATTACTATCGAGGGGTCACCAAATCCGAATTCCTTGGTTACTAGTCTGCAATATTACTCTATATTCGTGAAATTTCTATTTGTATATACGTCGAAGTTCAGCGCATGCCATTGATTGGAAGGAGATCATTCAACCTTTCTATATATGCATATTAGTTTATCTCATTTTCAATGTTTTTTTTTAAATTTATATTTTATTTTAAGTCATTATTTTCTTGCTCGAAATTATGAGTAATTTGCAGGGATTCCTTGGACTGAAGAGGAACACCGATTGTTTTTACTTGGTTTGCAAAAGCTTCGCAAAGGGGATTGGCGAGGGATATCCCGCAAGTATGTAATAACAAGGACACCAACTCAAGTCGCGAGCCACGCTCAAAAATATTTCATACGCCAATCAAATGCAAGTAGAAGAAGGCGAAGAACTAGCCTCTTTGATATGGTACCGGATGAAGTGAGTCTCTTCTTCTCCCACCTCTTTGATATGCTTATGTGTATTTGTTGTTTCATCTGAAACCTAATGGCTTCTTTGCGGTTGAGTTTTCTCCCACATAACAGAACAAAAACTTTCTTTAACTTGTCATCCATTTAACCAGACTGCAGAACCTGAGTTATTTCCCATGAACTATAAAGAACCTGAAACACAAGAACACCATTGCACCCCTGCACCTGTACTTCAAGAAGAAGAATGTGAGTCCATGGATTCCAACAATTCTGCTGATGAAGAAGAATCTGATGTCATAAAGCCAGAAATTTCAGAATCTCAGGGTAGTTATCAAGTCATATACCCTGCCTATTTCTCTCCATTCTTTCCCTTTACTCTACCTCCTTGGCCTCTTTCTGCTGCTGAAACTGTGGAGAAGAAGGCTCACGAAATTGTTAAGCCAACTCCCTTACATACAAAATCTCCTATTAAAGTGGATGAGCTTCTGGGCATGTCAAAACTGAGTATAGGAGAATCTGGCGTTGAAGAAGCCGCTCCATCACCATCGCTGTCAGTAAATTTACTTATAGCAAATAGACATTCTGCATTTCATGCTAATTACCCAGCCCGCCCGAAAGCAGCTCAGTGAAAGTTTTTCAGGGAGGCCTTTCTAATGTAAGTTGCGGTACAACTTTATTTCTTGCTCTTCTATGTATTTAGTATGTTTTAAATAGGGTTTAGGATTTGCACTATGAAAGTTGACAACCTAATTATCAATTTCTTTTAGTACATTGCTATTCTTCTTGTATGTTAGAACTTTGCTTATTTGAAACCATAAATTATGTTTCTTCTTTGCTGATGTGACCTCTTAACATATTGTTAAAATTATTGAGTTGTTTCTTTTATGTGGCTTGCCATTAATTTTGCCATTCTATGGAATTACAGAGAACATGTCATTTAGGTAGCAATTACAACCATGTAAGACCATCATATACCTTTCAAAATATGCAGTCTCTTCATATGTATTATGTATATGCATGTAAAGATGCATGTATCCATGAATGATCATCATGATCAGTTGGATTATTTTTTTTAGGATTATTTATCTATTTTTATTATGTTCTGATGACACAGTTGGTAGATTAGATGCAAATTTTGCCTATCTTAAGAAAGTTAAGAGGAAGGTCTAAAAAGACTGGTTTCGTTTGGGATGGTTTTTTTCCTGCTGCTTAAAGTAATTTTTTTAGTAAAAAAATTTAAAATCTGTACTGAAAAGCTATTTTAAGAAGCAATAAGAAAATCGTCCCAAACGGAGCTGAGACGGTTTTCTTATTGCTTCTTAAATCAACTTTTTAGTAGAAAATTTTCTTGAACTAAAAATTTTTCCCAAACGAAACTTGAATGAGAATAACTCTTAACAGGATTTTTAGTCGGCCCTATATTTATAATGGGATGAAGACTTGATATTATTGTTGGTGTATGTAACTGTTTTTCTATTTTTACAGAATGTTATATGAGTTAAATCAGTGCTCATTAATGTTTTTTATAAATCTTCCATCTTCTGAAAGTCATTCTATGTTAATTTTGTAATTGTCTTTGGTTTATATATAATTTTTTAATTCAAAAAAATTAATTAAAAATTTTACTTCGTATTATATTTATAACATCTATAAAAAAATTTCAATAACATTACTTTTTTTATTATAACTTCCAAATCATCTATGTAAACATTTTAACCATTACAAACTGATTTTAAATTATACATGCAATATGACTTTCTATTTCAACCTTCTTCATGACAAATGAGGATTAATATTATTTTTTAATATGTGCATTGAAATAAAATTTTTATTATTTTCAAAATTAAAAATCTTTTGAATGGAATCAAGATAAAATATGTAAACAAATGAAACATTTTTTAAACATTTTATAATAAAAACTCTCTTCAAATACCAATAATAAATAAAAATTTAATATTTATATTTAAAATAAGAAAATAAAACATAAATTTCAAGTTAAATGACATATTAAAGATTGTGATTATTTAGAAATTTGCATCCTTTTAATGGAATCTTTTACGATCCAGATCAAAACTCATTCTCTTGTAGGGCATTTCTAATCGACCAATAAATATTTGTTTGCAACTACGATCAGTCTCCACCCAAAAAGCCCAAAAAAAAAAAATGATAAGTATCTATATGTGATATTATTTTGATGTTAAAAATAAAATTCGAATTTAGATGAATTATTACATTTTAAAGCATTCAGTTTGAGATGCCCTAAGAGGCTGTTTGGCAATAGGATTTATATCGGATTAGAGAATGAGTTAGTGTGACATAAATCTCACGACAGAATAAATCCACCATTACCATCTTTTTATGGTAAATCCCGGATTTAGTAAATCTAGGAGTTCGGGAAACATTGTCCATAGGCCAGTTAAAACCTCGGTCGATCTAGCAGGCAACCCACACTAATTTACCCGAGCCGATGGTTAAAGCTTACACTGCTTTCCAGGAGATTCAAACCAGGCACCTGAGCTTTGCCCAGCCGACCATTAAGGCTTACATGTCTATCTTCTTGCGGCAAGTTGCCCCAGTTGAAACCATGATTTCGCCTCCCCATCCCTCCATGTCGCGAGCTCTCCATCCCGACTGATCGCAGGTCTATTGTGATACCGTTCTAAAAAGATGTATGATTTTACCCTAAATCTCATATCCTTTACCTCCTCCCGTATAATTCACCGCCTAGGGTTTAGCCGTTGAAGGAGAGATCATCACAAACACGCAACATTGATTCATCTGACTGCTGCAAATACAATTGCTTGTGATCTGCAAAGATAGAGAACTTATCTTAACGGACACAATCAGGGACCAGCACAAAAGTATTCAGACTACAAAAGTCCTAACCTCAAATTTGGAATCTGAGTTATGAAATTATCTCATAGAAATTTAAGCTATCAGCTGAGAAAAACGCAACAGCTTCTGATATGCAGGAGAGATTGTTATGTACAGAATCGGGATGTAGCTTTTCGTCTGGATTCTAATCATGTAAAGACCTGTGGACTTTGAGACGATTAGATCCTGAAAACTGAGTCATTGTGGTTCAAATCAATATGAAAGTTAACTTTCCACAGCAGATCATTATATATGTGAAGATGATTAGAACTTGAAAATCTCAAAGGACGGCTTTCTTAATATTTTCTTACGCAGTCTTTCAGTACAAAAAATTTTAATTGAAAAATTATTTTAAAAAATAATAAAAAAACCGTCCCAATCGAAGCCTTAATTTTAAATCAATTTCCTGATCGATTTCATATTCACTTCTGCCTCTTAATTCCTTCAAACCAAACAGAACATTGCAGCTGTAGTGGAGAAACTGGAGATTGTATATGAGATATGAAAGATTGAGACATTGAAAGCAAGGCTGCTGCTGAGGTAATTTGTTGGCAATATAACAATGTAAGTAGAAAGAAGAACAATTGGTTTATTAGTTCAAACATGCACAATAAAATCACCATTATTCTAACAAACATAGATAAGCTGCTTATAAGAGCTTTTCATAGAAGTAAAGCAGTGAACAGACTCCAGCAAAATATCAAAATAACAGATTTATAAGCTCAACTGCAGGCTTACAAGTTCATGTCTATATCTGAGAAAAATAAAGCTGCTTGTGATCTGCAAGACTCACAAATTCTGATCTATAACTCATTATCAGGAATCAACACAATGGATCCAGATGTCTTCCTTCCCTCGAGGTCGGCATGAGCACGAGCAGCCTCAGACAAGGGATAGACATGGTTGACGCGAACTTTAAGCACACCAGATGATAGAAGAGAAAATACCTCACCGGCCGATTCGAGTAGCTCATCCCGGGTTGCAGTGTAGTGCATGAGAGATGGCCTGGTGAGGAACAGGGATTTCGGCGCAAGATCGGAAAGTGGAATTGGATCAGGTAGGCCTGATGATTGGCCAAAACTAACCAGGTAACCACGAGATGCCAAGCATTTCAGAGAACCCTGCATTCAGAGACTTTCAATTTTCACCTAAGACTAATGTTTCGTCTGGGACAGCTTTCTTCTTGCTTTCTAAAACAACTTTTTAGTATAAAAATTTGTTGAATTTAAAAATTTTGTACTAAAAAGCTTTAGATTAGACTAATTTATAGAAGAAATAACAACATGCTTTACCTGGTATGTATCTTTTCCAACTGAATCATAGACAACATTTACCCCTTTGCCGGAGGTTATATTGTTGACAGCAGCTACAAAATCTTCCTTGGTATAGATTATTACATGGTGGCAACCATCCTCCTTTGCTTGAGCAGCTTTTTCTTCACTAGATACAGTCCCAATAACCGTCGCACCTAGAGCATTAGCCCATTGACAAAGAAGTGATCCAACCCCACCAGCAGCAGCTTGAACTAGAATGGTGTGTCCTGGTTCCACCTGCATTATCCAAGTTAGTTCTTCCTCAATCATATTGTTGAGTGCTAGTTTCAATGAAAAGAATTGTCAACCCTACAAAACTAAGATGACCATTGTTAGTATTACAAGTGAAAAGAAAACAGCCTCTTGTTACGGGGCAACCGAGACCTGGCCAGGTGGGGCCGGTTCAAACATACAGGAGGCGGGCCTAAGCTAGTGGGGCCCCCTTCCTTGGCAGCAATTAGAGAGAGAGAGAGGACAATTTGAATTTCAATTATATTAGGAAGCTTTTATTAGGAATGGTGGTATTTAAAAAGGATGAGAAGCTAGGGTTGGGGTTCATGCATGATTTGAGTTGTCTTTTAGAAGTTTCCTTCGTGTCGTGGGCTCTAGACTTATCGTCTAGAGATTGGGAGAGAACGATCCTCCCCTCGAATTGAGGATCAATTGTATCTTTGCTTGTTCTTGCTTTCGATTTGATTCCTATAATATAATCTACTGATTTTAGATTATTTTTATTGAAAATCTTGAAATTTTCTCGCTGTTTTCACCAATTATTGTTAGGATTGTATGCGAACTCAAGTATTTCCTATCACCTCTCTCGGGCGTGCCTCTATAAACACAGGTTAAATGCACATGAAGATAAGCAGTTCAAGTTAAATTTTACAATGGTATTATATGCAGTTACATAATATTCTGAAGTAGGAGTAATGACCAACAATAGGGACCAACCTTGAAGCACCGTCGGAGTAGACTGTGAACAGTCATTCCCTTCAGCATAATAGATGCAGCTACCTTATGATCAACTGAAGAAGGTACAGGCACCGCTGCACTAGCTGGGAGGATTTGTTCTTCTGCATATGAACCCATAGGGTTTCCAGCATAAGCAACCACATCCCCTACTTTTCGACCGGTCAAACCAGAGCCCACAGCAGTCACTACTCCCACTGATTCCCTTCCTAGACACAAATCTCTTCAATTAAATATCTAAAATTAAAGAATTAAAGAAATAAAGAAAGCTATATGGAAAAGGCAAGTAGAAATCTTAACGAAGTGAATTTGAATCTCATCTAAGGATGTGAGAAATAACGAGAATTCAATCATACTTAAACATTAATTCTGCATAATTAGATAGAAAGAGTAAGAGAGCACAAGGAATTATGAAAATAGCTGGATCTGGGAGCACACAAGTTGAGTTCAGGTGATTGATTAATATCGTGCAACTTCGAAATGGAATCCTTGCAAAGCAAAATCATATTATTAGGGAAAGAAAGCAAATGCATTATATTAAAAGCTTTTAAGAGGTAGAGCACCTTATGGAGTCGTAATGAATTAACCTAGTGATAGGAAGTACTTGGTTTATGTTACGCCGGTTCGGTCTGAACCGGCCCACTGTCCGGCCCGACGGATTTACAAGAGGCGGATTGTGTCTGCCTCTTCTCCTTGCCGCAGAACATGATGGGTTCCACCCATCATTAGTAAATTCAAAATTTGTTTAGAGAGGGGTGGCTAGATCTTTAGGAGGGAAATTATATTAGGAAAGTTCTTGTATTGAAGTGCATGAGGGGAAAAAAAAATTTAAAAAAAAGTGCATGAGGGGATTAGGGGGAGATTATGTTTTGATTGCTTGGAAAATTAGGGTTCTTGATGCTTGGGCTCTAGACACTCTTGTCTAGAGATTTGGGAGAGACGATCCTCCTCTCGAATTGAGGATCTCTTGTATCTTGCTTTGTGTTTGTTCCTTTTGCTTTCTATAAAGAAGTTGCTATCGTGTGCTTGCTCTTCTACGACATTTTCTACGTTTTTTTCTTGCTGATTTTACTGATTTTGGTTAGGTTTGCTTGCGAACTCAAGTAGATCCGATAGGATTACTTGCGAACTCAAGTATTTCCTATCAATTTTGCAAGTAATTCCTACCAATCTTAGAAAAACAGCAAAAATCCTCCACAAAAATCCACACAAAACCAAAAAAATAGTAGAAAATTTGTATTATTTGATGAAATAGAAATGGAAAATAGCAAAATACAGTTGATCCTCAATTCGAGAGGAGGATCGATCTCTCCCAAATCTCTAGACGCCGCTAGAGCCCAAAAGAAAACATAAATCTAAGATGTCTCAAATTTCAGCCAAATTCAAGATGCCCTTGCCCTAACCTAGGAAAACAAATTATTTAATGCATACAATCAAAAGGAAATCTCTAAACGGTCCATACATTCAAATTTTCCTCCCAATTCCCTCACAAATCTTTCCAAAAAAGTTCCCTTGGATTTGGTGGCCTGATCGGCCTACGTGACAGGCGGAGAGTTCCGCCTGAGCCTGTCCCGTGTGGACCGGTCTAACACCTAGCTAGACAAACCTTAAATGGAAATAAAGCAAGCCAAATTATTTGAATAAATAACATGTTTTTTTGCCCCAGTTAATTACAATTTTGGCATCGCCACACAACAAGAAGCCACCCCACCAAGCCAGTGACAGAAGGTGGCTAAAGATACTGCATTTTATGGATCTTAAAAATTGAAGGCACCTTTCACATGCACCGTAAGCTATGATGCACCGACACTTCTCCTCAAAGAGGCGTGCAGTGTCCGACGCGACACTCGTCCGACACTCCTCCGACACGTGTCGGACACGCCGAAAACGTGACCGATTAAAAAAATATTAAAAACTAATTGGACACGCGTGTCGGACACGCGTATCTTAAATATTTTATAATTATTTTTAAAATATAATTTCTTATGTTTGGCGAGATTTAAACTAAATTTGTCCGTGTCGTGTCGTGTCCGTGTCGCCGTGTCCGTGTCCGTGTCCGTGCATCATAGACCGTAAGTTGAAGGAATTTCTAGTTAGACTATTCTTGCTTCAAAATTTGGGGAAAAATAAAAAAACATTTTACATTTAAGCCGTAACACAATTTCCTAGTTGCTATCAGCATTTATGATTTCTTTTATGCTTTTGACGGGTTTCAATCTATAAGTTATGTAGAAAGAAATGTCATTTAAATACATTCTATTTTGTGATAAAGTGCATTGCCAACATTTATCATTTAAGAAAATTGGAAAATTATTAAAAGGGGGATTTCACAAACTTCTCGAGTAGCATCATCACCATACTTAGGCTAGGAACAGTCTGAAATTCAGCTGAACAAAACCATCTCACGATTGGCTCAAAGCCAGTTGGTCCTATTTTGATCCAAGCTAAGCCTAGCTATGGGCTACCTTTAGTAAATCTTGGTTCAATCCAAGCTTGGTTTTTTAGTTTTGATCCAAGCCAAAAACGATACAGGATGGACATGTGAAATTGATAGACATTAGAATACTTGCTCAATGGGAGGAAAAAGAAAAAAGAATGGCTAAATTGACAAATATAAATACATCAATTAATGTATGCATAATATATATATATATATATGTAGTTTGGTCTGATTTTAAGCTAGCTTGATGGACCTAGGCTCCATTTAATTTAAATTCAATTAGAGCCAAGCATGACTCACTAGTCAATTCTAATTTCATATTCGAGCTCGAGCTTGATCAAAGCCTAACGCTAATAATGAATTCATATGCTCAAAACTCCTATATGATCATCTTCAAGAATGATGACTTCCTCTTCAAAACGATTGAACATATTTGATAGTCATATACCATGTCAAAAATTAATATTGTTAAGATAAATTGAATCATGATTGATCCAAATTTTTTTGTCAATCTCGGGAATGTTAAGACACTCCGCACTGCAGATTGAGTCTCAAAGTTCAATATCTTCGTAAAGATAAAGTGTTCCTTTGAGGTTCCAATGAGAGGTAGAGAACTTTAGGACCTATGGAGTCACCCCTCCAATTTAAGAAGCTTTATAAAGATACAAATTTCAATATGATATACTCTAATGCTTCTTTCAAAGCACCCCACGAAAGTTTGTGGCTCTGTGATTACAATATTATTATTTTCTCTATCAATCAATATATGAAATACACTTAGTATGGAGAACAACATTAAATTGATGGTGATATGCAACTATACATGATGCATTAGGTTAAAATATAGATGATGTTAAACATTTTATCGCCAAGAAATCTAAAGGCACCAACCCTCCCCAAAAACAGATAACATAACATGCTCAAGCATAATCAAATGTTGCGACTACGAAGGCAAGGGCAATAAGAAACTAAAGTAGACTAGTTTAAAGGAGCCTTCTCTAGCAAAGCAAAAGAGAGTACCTCACCTTGGTAGTGACATAGAAGATGAGGAAGAATAATGGCATAGTTATCTAACAAAACAACAAAACAAGGGCTTGAACTCCATAATTAGAGTGGTTAACTCCCACATTTTCAAGAGTAGGGGTGTCAAAATTTGACAGACTCAAAAAATCTGAGTTCGAGTTAATTTGTTTAATAAATGGGTTAAGTTCCTCTAAAGCAAATAAATAACCAAGCTCATTATTGCAAAAATTGCTTGAAATATAATCATGTCCAAACACCTGTGAGGCATGAAAGACTTAACCATGGGGCCTCAAATATGCTCAATATCCATGCCCACCAAGAGGCATGTGCTATGATATTATAGGTAGTAAGCTAGTCCTTCTGTATCCAAGAATGAACCTAAAGAGTTGATGGTTGATTTGAAATAGGCTCCTAAAGAACTCAAAGATAGTTGCTAAGCTACAATTGATGAGCTCAAAGATCAAATTAGATATGGAGGAACCCAAGGCTACTTTTGTGGGTGCTCTTTTGCATGAGGAGACAAAATAATTAAAAACATTACTTCTTGAGCATATGGATTGCTTTGTTTGGAACTATATTGCAATGCTAAGCTTGTCTCAAGATGTAGCAATCCGTAAGTTCTCAATCAATCCCAAAGCATTGTTTAGCAAGCAGACACCAAGTGAATTACATTTGAGATTAAGGAACAAATTGCTTGACAATGATTCATTCAAGAGAAAAATATATCAAATGGATTGTAAATATCATCATAGTGAATAAAAATAATGGCTAAATATATGTCAATATTGACTTGCATGACCCGAATAAAGTATTTCCAAAAGATGACTTCCCACTACACTTAATAGAACTCATGATCGATAATATATTGAAAAATAGTATGTTCTCATTCATGGAAATATCATAAAACTCTAGACAAGTCAGAATGGCATCAAAGGACAAGAAACATGCACCCTCCCATACTCCCATGAACATCATTATCTACTGCTATAAGATGTTGTCATTCGGCTTGAAAAATGTTAATGATGTCTACGAAATGATAAAGATCAACATCTTCGATGATCAAATATAAAAATAAGTATAATATTATATGATTACTTGGTTCTAAAAAATATAACTTGTCAGGCTCAGGATTATATTTGAAACAACAACATCAAGCCTTTATCCCGCGTGTGGGGTCAGCAACTATCTTATCCATTGTGTCCTGTTAAGAGCCAAATTCTCATTTAAATCCAATAAAAAAGTAATTTTCTAATTTTTTTTACCCAAGCCTTTTTAGGTTTACCTGTACCTTTCTTAAGATAGGACAAATTTAATACATCTACCTCTTAACCGAGTCATCGAAAGGCCAACGTTTTATGTGATCAAATCATCTAAGGTGTCTCTCTCTAATCTTATATGCCACTAGAGCTACTCCAACCTTTTCACATATAAATGAATCCTTTGAAAGAATTAAAAAAATTCAAATTTTAAATGAATCCTTTGAAATGAATTTTAAGTATCTCATCTGAAAATATTTTAGGCTTTATTGTGTTCCACAAGAGGATCAAAATTGATCCCTCTAGAATTAAAGCCACTATAGAAATGTCAGCATCCGAGACCCTCAGATAGTTTCATTTTCTGCAAGATAAGTAAGCATACATGAGGAGTTTCATCTTTAACTAGCCAGGTAAACCCTTCACCTAATTGACGTAGAAGGGAAACCCCTTTATATAAATCCAATTTTTGGGCCGTAAGAATATTCATTGATAGCTAATTTGAGAGTGATAAAAATAAAAATGTTAAATTGAATTTGCAACAAAATTAAGATGACTAAATTAAGGAATAGTTATAATAAAGAGATAGTTAAAGTATCACCTATTAAAGATAAGATAAATCAAAATTGACTTATGTAGGCTGGTAAAGTGCAATGAAGAGTAAAAATGTACCATCAGATAGATAGATAAAATTAGTTTCAATGGATTATGAAGGAAAAGTGATAGAAAAAAATAATAAGGGCAGAAGTTGTTCAAAATGATTTGCAAAGAATGAGTTTAATACTTTAGGTGGCACTCAAAAAAGAATGAAAAATAAGAATTCATAATCCAACTAAGAATAGTTGGGCAAGACTAATGATGATGATGATGGATAGGACCATCGGTGGATGGATGGATGGCATATAAAACAACATTATAGTAAACAAATCCAACAATAATAACATATTTGCATGCCCATCAATTTAGAACAAAGCAAATGGCTATACTGTTGTAAATTATGTAGGATAACCAGTATAAGAATATATACCTGGAGTGAAAGGCAAATCAGTCTTGTACACTCCTTTGCGATAATAAACGTCAATGAAGTTTACTCCAATAGCCTTATTCTTAACTCGTATCTCTCCCTCCTTCGGTTCCCCTATCTCCACATCTTCCCAATTCAAGACCTGTTTTGCATCTCAGGTTATAAATAAACGAGACCCGTGCATAGATGTAGATCACAAGACTAAAATCCTCCCAAAAAAATTAGGTTAAAAGAAATCATTTTCTGATTCGCAAGGCCAGCATCATCATTTCAAAAGGAAGCCTTCATCACAGAACTAGCCAAGACAGAAAACAAAAATTTCAATCCTTTCAATCTAAATTCAAAACCAAGCAATTAATAGAAATTTCTGGTGAAAACAGCATGTCTTTTATGCCTAACATCGCAGTAATTTATTAGGTTTATTTTAGTATCAAGAACGCCCGTAGCTAAAATTGACCAAAATCTACGGTTTTAACTCAAGAAAGAAGCAAATTCTGCTTAAAAAAACCCAACGACAAGAAGTTTAGATAGATTTGATTGAAAAGGCATGTAAGGCTTGCCTCAGGACCACCGAGCTCATGGACTCTTATGGCTTTCACCATTTTTGCCGTCGCCGCCGCTGCCGTCGAGGCTCTGATCGATGACCTGCAGTGAAAAGTAGGGTTTAATCGAAGGATTTTATTATCTGAAGGCGGCTGCAGTAGCTTTCGATGAGTAAAAAAGAGTGGCTTTTGGAAGCTTAAAAAAGCTCTCTTTAGGCTCATTATTCCGAAGAAAGCCGACCAACAATCATATGACGCCGTAATATTTCTAAAACTCACATTTCTTAAACCAATAACAAAAATAAAAATAAAAAGGGTTAAAATAAAAATTAAAATAGGATCAAAAGATTTTCTTTTTTAATATTATAGGATTTACTTTATTTTTTTATAAAATCATTTGATTAATTAACTTAATGACTATGAAATATTATTTATTAAATTTGGGTGAATATATTCTTATCCAATTATAAATTATTCTCTCAATAACATATAAACTTATTCTACATCTATGCTATATGATATATCATAAAAAAATTATCTTGATAAGGCACAAATCTCGAGGCAAAATCAAGTTGAAAACTTCAAAAATTTAATCGGAAATCAGCTTAACTTTGATTTTAGTATATTTACAGTCGAACTGAACGTCTCGAAAATACGAACCCACGACACCAAATTCAACTCAATCCGAGCCCAAATGAATACAAATCAAAGACCCGAAGAGCATTTAGAAGGTTTAATCCATAATTTGGATTATCAAATAGTTTCCAAACGTGACATGCTTATAGGAGAATCGAGCGGCCTGACAAGACGAATCCAATGAACCCATGATAGCCAAATTTTGATCTCGATACGACGTTCAAATGTCCAACAAACGATCCACGATCAAGGGAATCAACATCGACCGTCCATTCAAATCACTCCAAATTTATTCTTAATCTCCTCCTATTTACTGGTCATGTCACTCTCAGAAAATTATAAATAGACCCCTCATTTCTCATGAGAGGGGGACCCAAGCAAGGAAGAGAGCAAAGAGAACTCTCTTGCCACTCGACTTCTCGACCACCGTCGGACTTCCGCCCGGCCACCGACTGACACCAGACTTCTGCTTGACCACCGACTAATGCCAGACTTCTGCTCGACTGCTAATTGTAGTTGGATTTTCACCCGGCAACTAAATAACGCTTGACTTCTGCCCAACCGCCGACTGAAGTCGAACTTCTACCTAACTGCCGACTGACTCTGGACTTCCACCAGAGTATTAATTGAAGTCGGATTCCACCTAACTACTAAACGTTACCGAATTTCTGATTGTTGCTCGCAACTATATTTCAACCCGTTAGTTGATTATTATAATATGATCATCCTCGATTTCAAGGACGAGTCAACCACTAGTAATCTAATTAAATATTAGTGAAATCATTTCAACTGGGCGCGGTCCCGTGGTTTTTCCTTTTTCTAGGGGTTTCCACGTAAAAATGTATGTGTTCCTTTTTCTTCTGATTTTGTTCTGGATATTCGTACAATGCTTAGACAAAATTTTCTAACTCTATAATCGTGTATATTCTAGCACGCAATACTATCTTATTTATCATATATGATTGCATTAAAAAAATTAAAAATAATTAATAGAAATAATTGCTTAAACTGGAATACAATATAAAAAAGAATGCAATTTATTTGAAAATATTCAAATTATTTTGATTAATATAGTAAATACATAATTTTTAATTTGATCTGAAGTTAAATGAATGCATCATGAAGCTCAATGATGATGATAGCTGATGACAAGCACCCTACAGAAGTTGTGGTAGGTAGCTGGCGATTGTGGGCGATGATCGGTGGTGGCAAAGGCGACAAACGACTGACTAGTAGCGGTGGCCAGCGGCGAGAGAGAACTCATATGGAGACCATGTAATTACCTTAACAATAATCAAACCAAACTTAACAATAATTAAACTAAACTTATCATAATTTAATGATTGTTTTCAGTGTCAATTTGGTTTATTAGGCTGCCTCGATTATTCTGTGAATATATTCTTGCCAGTCTTTATGAGGGACATTTTATGGGTGAGAGACCATGTGGTTGGTGTACTATTAGCTGAACAAAGAATTATTCTAATTATTCTCTAAGTATATGCTACAATTTTTTATTTGATCATGAGCATGTTCTCAGGTATGAGAGAATTTTGCCTTTCTTTGTGCTAAGAATCTGAAGGTTCTCTGTTGATGAGAAAAAAAAAAAAACCTGAATGTGAATTTTCATTTTTTAAAGCATGTTTGATTCAAAATATATATATTATTATAAGGGTTGTCTGTTGTTTGAATTTTCTCCCATTTTATTTCTATTTCTATGCATTATGGATTTTTTTTTGGTGTTCCTTGCCTGTCTCAATCAAGCATGTTGAAATTGTCATGGTTGCTAATTTCAAAATAGAGCTATCTATCTGCATCTGTATCTCTTTCAATGTTTCATAATTATTGACTAATATATTAGCATTGTTATGTTATGGAATATTCAGAACAATAGAGAAATATAAAATTTAATAGCTTAGTTTTATATGAAGATCTAGTACATAATCAGATAAGAGAGAGGGTGTAATGCTCATAAGAGACACCGATTTTTTTACATGAAAACCCCTAAAAATGGGGGAAAATCATAGGATCTGACCCAATTTGAATGAATCCACTAGTATTTCCAGTTAATTACAAATCAAACCTTTGCTTGGGGGGAAGGCCTTGATTTGATGTAGCAAATGCACATCATATAGAGTACATTACATGGTGGGTACTTGAAGAATCAATATTGACATATTCGTTTAATCAGCAAGGCCATAGTAGGCAGGCAACGGAAGTCGGAAAGATCGTAGTCGCAAAAATAGCTTGAGCGGGGGTATCTACCTGTTGTCACTCCAGAGGGAGCATTTGGCGGCATAACTAATCCCTTGGTGGAACCTAGCGAGGCCACCCACCGGCATCGGACCCACATTTGTTTTGCCCCACTGAAGAGGTGAGGTAGTAGTAGAGGGGATTTGAACCCGGAATGGGGGGTTCCTAACCATGCCGCCCACCAACCATCCTAAGCCTCGATCGGCTGGTGAAAAAGCTTAGTGCCTTATGGAAATTTTAATTGATATGACACATTGAAATTAACTTGTATTCTCTTTATGTTTCTTAATTATCTTATTAAGGGAAAGTGATTTTTACTACAAGATAAGCTGCTTATTATACTGCAATGTTAACGACTTTATCTTTTAGTAATATTATTACATCAAATTTATCTATTTTTAATCAATTTTTATGGCCAAAATGATTGCCATCGGCTTTTTTTTTTAATGAGCAATGCCTTCTTATTTCCTAAATTATATATCTAAACATTTACGTAAAAAATCTCACACAATAAAAAAATAATGTGAAAAATGCTAACGATCATAAGATATAACACATAACACAAGTCAACTTAGGCTTCATTTGGGACAGCTTTTTTACTGCTTCTTAGGCTTCATTTGGGACAATTTTCATACTACTTCCTAAAACGGTTTTTTAGTATAAAACTTTCTAATTCAAGAAAATTTTGTACTAAAAAGCTGTTTTAGAAAGCAACAAAAAGGTTGTCCCAAACGAAACCTTAAAACGACTTTTCAATAGAAAAATAAAATTTTTTTGTACAAAAAAGTCCATTTAAGAAGCATTAAAAGGCCGTCCCAAACTAAGCCTTATTCTTTTGGTTGGGAACTTTGACTACTTACCAAGAGGTCTTAAGTTCAAGTCTTGTGTATGTGTTATGTGTATGTATTTGTCTTAATTGACCTAAATGTTCCCAAAAAAAGATATCACACTGAAGACAGAGACGCAACGGTAAAATTCGATCCCATCTTCCTTCAAAAAGTAATTTTTTTTTCTTTATGTTAGATTTTTGCAAAAGCAAATTGAAAGAGTTCACCATTATTATGAATAACCTATCCTTACATCTTCTGTCTTCATGGCTCAAAAGCTTTCTTCCTTCATTGACAATGCCTTCAGTCTTTTTATCACACTTTCCTTAATTAGAATGTGGAGTACTGGCTGTTGGCCTTCATGAAGAATGCCTTAAACAAACAATTCTCCTTGTAATTAAATATGATACTAACTTATGCATGAATCATGCACATTATTTATGAGAGGCACATGCACATAAAATTTTTTCCATTTGCTTCACATTTAACCTTTTTTAACTTTGCTTATTATTATTTTTTTTAAACATAAACAATACTCAAATAATATTGTTTAGCTTGTACAAAAAAGGTTTAGGCTTCATTTAGGACAGTTTTTTTATTGCTTCTTAAAACAACTTATCAGTTTAAAAATTAAAATTTTTATGCTAAAAAGTTATTTTAAAAAACAATAAGAAAACCGCTCAAACTAAGGCTTCGTTTGGGACAGCTTTCTTCCTGCTTCTTAAACCAGCTTTCTAGTTCTAAAATTTTAACTTTTGAACTAGAAAGCTGCTTTAAGAAGCAGGAAGAAATCCATCCAAAACGAAGCCTAAATCTTAATCATGAAAGTTAAATGCATTAATAGGAAATTCATATCAGTAAATTATAATTTTCTTTATAGAAAGTTGTTTGAGCACAGCTCTATTATTCTATTTACTTTCAATTGGCAGACTTTATCAGCTTTTATTTTTTTAATTTTCTTTATGTAGTGAGAACATTTCCATTCAATGTAGGCTGTGGTTGGCTGAGCTCTCTTTTAAAACTTCTTGAAGGAGGATTGACTAATTTCTAATAGATACAAAATATTTGTTAAGGAAGCTATCTCTTCAATATTTATTAGGAGGCAAGGAATGGTATGCATTAGGTGGAATTAATTAATTTTATGTTGGTTTTATTTGGGATAATTTTTTGTCATTATTTTTTTAAAAAAAAATCTTTGTACTAAGAATTGCTTTAGAAAGTAGTGAGAAAGCTACCCCAAGCAACACCTAAATTACATGCAATAATCAAATTAATCACTTGTTGCCAACAAATCCTTGGTTAAGATGTTTGTTAATCAAGAAGATTATAATTAGTTAACTTAAAATATAAAGTTTAAGTTAATCCAAACCAAAAGGTTTTTTTATTAATATAATAGAATGTTTGGCTCATTATTATGGTTTCGTTTGGGACAACTTTCGTATTACTTTCTAAAATGGCTTTTTAGTATAAAATTTTCTAATTCAAAAAATTTTAGTACTAGAAAGCTATTTTAGAAGGCTGC